AATGGACAAATAATAACGACATTTAATTATTTCAAAAATATAAAGTCGTCAATTTTAAATATAATTTTAATTTTAGGTCAAAATTGAAACATAGAGGATCAAATTTTTTTTTTTTAAAAAACTTCATTTTTACAACTACAAATTTAGTATTTAAAAATTGTAAAATTGATCCCAAAAATTAAAATTACGAAAAGGGTCTCAAAATTTAGAAATTACATAACAGGTCCTTATTCTTAAATTACATATTAACCCTATGTTAAATTGCAGGAGAAGCCCCTAAAACTCCCAAATTGCAGGAGGAGCCCCTTTATTGTTACTTGCAAGAAAAGGCTCCCTTTTCATAATTGTACGTAAGCCCCCAAAATTTTTGAAATTGCGAGCAAACCCCCATCCCCAAAACAAAACAAAACATGATCCAAATACTAAAACCCTAGACCTCAATTCAATTTTTTTTATATAAGCACCGGCGTCGGGCCTCCTAGGCATCTACGCAGCCTACGGTCGACGGGAAGAGCCGACAGCCGTGAGCTGCAGTAAGCTGCTGCAACGCGCGACGCTGCACATCAAACAGTGGCAGAGCGAACCCGCCGCTGCTGACTTACCACACACAACCACAAAACAACTCTACACGAATTTGATCCAGAATACCACTTTGAAAACATGAAATAATTGACCAAGAATCAACAAGAAACACAATCGAACGGCCTGCACAAATTGGGTAACAAGCAGGGAAGAAAACGAATAGAAACAAAGACGGGTTCCGATGCTAAGTTGTCGGCCAAAGTGCTGACAGTGAAGGGGAGAGAAATGGTTAAGTAAAGAACCAAGTAGCATCCACGATCGAATGAGAAGAAGAACTGGGGAAGAGCAAGGGAGCAGAAAGTAGGCAAAGCAAAAATCAAATTTTTTTTTTGTTTAAAGGATTCAAATCTTAGCACGATGGCTCTAATACCAATTGTAATTATTCAGTACAAGCATGCTAAGAATAAGAATCACATAGTTAATTGATAGTTCGAAATTCATACATGCGGAAGACATTGTTATGTATGAATATTACCAGCTAGATCTTCCTCTCCTTGCTCCCCACAAATAATCAGCCATCAATGGAGCAAGCCTATAAAACAATAATGGAGATGAGAGGGGACTAGCCGTTATATAGAAAATTATAAAGTCGGTCAATTACCGACTCTAACCCTAATTAGGGATTATAACATTCCGGTCCACATACTTAAAATTATCACATTATAAATAATAAAGCCTGTAAGGTGTACAATGGCTCACGTGATCACTAACATATTTGGCATAATCTCAGCATCATTGCAAACCACACATCTAACTCGTAAAATTCGCAATCAAATGGAAGCCTACATAATAGAATTATTTCAACAAAGGTATGATAAGCTACTTAGTATGCATTTCCATTTCCGGACTCAGTAATTGGAAGCCAAGCATCTTG